GACACAGCAGAGGAAACGAAAGCGAAAACTCACGTTTTCAGACAACGCGAAATGAGCTTCACTCACGTCGGGCCCGAACGCAGAACGTCAACTTGTTTTCCGCCAGTCATGCGCAGTGGACTTTTTGGCTTTTCCCTGATCTTATGGCGTTCCCGTCGCCGTCCGCGTTGTCTTTGCTTAAAGTCCCTACTGTCTCCTTCGCAACCCTGATTTGGGTGTCACGCAACGCTTCAAATAAGGATAATGTCATCTAGTTGATTATATCCTTAATTATCATCACTCGTATGTATGGCAGTGTCTTGTAAGGAGAAATAAGATGTTGACGATAAGAGGAAATGTAAAGATTTTTACAATTAAACGTTTTCAGGGAACATTTGTGATTACAAGAGTTGAAGCAGAATTCAACAGCTACTTCTCCCTTGCACTCGATTTGGAGTGACAGTCATCCCCTACCCACTCCTCCCTGTCCCAAAACGTACCTGGATTCATTCCTGGATTCATTCCAGCCTGCATTCCCGCTTGCTGTGACTGCAAAGCATTCATAGAAGGTTTATTCTTGTTCTGTAAATGTCCTAACTCGGGCGCGAATAGCGAGTCCAGTGCGGTGGATCCACTCCCGCTTTTAGTTTGATTTCCCGCAGACAATCCCGCAGAGGGATACCGCGGTGAAGAACCCACGGGATTCATCCCGAATGATCCCGACATTGTCAGGGTTTTACTTGACAGTCCAGTCATACCAGAGTTCATACCGGAAGTTGATAATCCCGCCATGCCAGAGTTCATACCGGAAGTTGATAATCCCGCCATGCCAGAGTTCATACCGGAAGTTGATAATCCTGTCATGCCAGTGTTCATGCTGGACATGCCTGTATACCCAGTCATTCCAGAACCCATTCCGGTATTGCCCGAATTTACCCCCGCCATTCCGTAAGAAGATGTAGACAAGCCCATCGAAGAACCAAAACTGGAGGTGCCAGGATGCGAGATGGAAGAGGTGACCAAAGATTGAGGGGGCCGAGAGGGCGCAGAAAATGAGGATCCTGATACCATAGGCTTTTTCGTAGGTGTGGACTTTAAGACGAGAAAATCAGAATCAAGAAAATTAGCGATAGAAAGTAAACATAAACAGCGTTTGATAAAAAGCGCAGAGGAACTGTAACACACCTTTTGTTGCGTTGTTCGGTTTGTTTGGCCATCCTGTTTCTGTTTCGAAGGCTGCAGCATTGAAAATTCGTCGACACCCAACAAATCTCCGTTAAGAGAAGCGCCTTTTGAAGGCGCAGGATTCTCCGGTAATCCAAACGTTCTGTTGAACTAGAGAAAGAGCGAGACGTTTAAAAACTAACTATGGTCACTGCACGGCAGCAGATAACGAGCGTGCAAGCCATGAAAGTGGATTCATTAACGTTTAGATCGCATAAATCCCGTGATAAATTTAAACATCAATGAACTAAAATAATGCGAAGAACGTATCCCTTGTTTGACAAAAAAAAAAAAAAAAGCAGGAGAGGCATGCCAAAATAGCCCAGTTTCGAGTTCGCCATGACCGCTGAATAAAAACACTGAGAACGCATTTGCACAGGGTTAGCCTCGACGTAAAAAAATATCCACAAATACCGGCGGGAAGGTGCCACAAATTTGAAAATTAAACAATACACAGAGCTGTAAACCGGTCATTTTCTCGCTGGAATTTGTGAATATTTTACTTTAGATCGAGGCTAACCCTGTGCAAATGCGTTCTCAGTGCTTTTAATCAGCGGTCATGGCGAACTCGAAACTGGACTATTAGAACAGCAATTTGCAGCCCATTAGTCGGATGTGAACTGAGCATTTTAGAGTCTTCACAAGACCGACGGCTGGGGACTGAGATTAAAGTTTTATACAGCTGTTTATAAATGCTCCCCAAATAAAGAAGCCAATAATTGAGAACTCTACCTACCTCCGCGGATTTTGTCGCCCCGGCAGAAATTGATGAAGATGACGAACTACCACTGCTACCTGTCTCTTTGACCGAAAGAAAAGTTTCAGTCGATGAGAAAGTTAAAATTTAACCACAGGGAGAAAGAAGTCGCATTCGAAATCGTGACTTGGTTCGTCACGCAACTAGGTCTATCCAGATGGCGCCAAAAAGTGGTCAAAACATGGCAAAAAAGCGCTCAAATAGTGCTCGATTTCTATAAAAAGTGCTTGAAATTTAGAAATAGTGCACGAAAGTTGCTCGCAGTTACGTTTATTATTTTTTTATTTCCTAGCAGATGTTTATACACATTCCTAGTTTTATCAAACTTGTAACTCGATTTTCTAATATACTGAGGTGACAATAAAGTATAACAACGTTTGCCGAACAAAAACTCAAAAACAACAGTCAGCCAGTCAGGCGACAAGGTACTATTATCATAATTCATGATAATAGTATTACTCGGCTTTACTTAGAACGTTTCAAACACAAAATATTGCATTTAACATTTGGAAAAATGTGAAAAATGTGCTGAAACGTTTCCCAAAAAGCTAAAAAAATCCTCAAATTCTGCTGAAAAGTCAATTAAGTGCTCAAGAGTGCTGGGAATGTAAAATAGTGCTCCAAATACAAAAGAATGGAGAAAAAAAGCCCAGACCAATCGGGACAGGCCTACACGCAACGCTTCTCCCCCACCCCCCCCCCCGAAAACCACCGACTACGATGAGGATTGCGTGACGACGTAGAAAAAAGAAAATGCTGTGAAATGTATAGACATTCATTAAACTACATTGCATCGGTGCGGATTTTCTAGAATCAGTGGACAATTTAACGAGACGATGATTACGATTAAAAAGAACTCAATCTTACCTGTGCCCGTGTGCTCGGTTCCAGGACTCCCGCCCATGAGTTTGTCTATCTTATTCATCAGATCGTCCATAGCTTTGGCTTCTTGCACCTCTTGGACAAATTTTAAAGAGGATCTGCCGACAAGTAAAGGGCAAGTTGCACATATAGTGTACGCCTGTGCAAAGCTTAGGGGCGGACCATTATTTTTTTAAAAGGGGGAAGGGAGGAGGGTTTGAGCAAGTTTCCGGGGAATGATATTTTTTTCTCACCTTTAGGTTGTGAATGATTTTTTAGGGGTGGGCAATGGCTTGTGGAATGATTTTATCTTTAAGTCAAACACTGGACCTCAATAGTAGAAAGCACTTGCTCGATTTTTTTTTTCCATGGTTCCCCTTGAACGATTTTTTTTTTATCAGACGTTTTTGCTGTACATGAATTTTTTTTTGAAATTGCCCAAGCCCCCTTCAAAAAATAATGGTCCATCCCTTACTAACTGAAAAATGAGGAACATTATGGATGGAAGGGAAGACAGATGTTGAGGGAGAAAAGTGGAAGTGAAAGAGAGAAAGAGACTGAGAAAGTGAGTTTCTTACTTGGTCTGTTCTTGCATCTTGCCGAGTTGCTCTAGCTTTGTGCGATGTTCAGTTTCCACACGTTTCACCATGTCGTTGATTAGTTTCATGTACTGACCAAACTAGACAGAAAGATGAAATTATCAGCAAGATTCACCACAGACAACCTCAATTGCTCGTATCCTCATTGTTGTCTTTTACGCAAGCGGATCACAACCTACGTCACAAGTATCGACAACCGTTTCCGCCGGAAGTCAAATTTCGATTTTGCTTCTTCGAAACTAATGTTGAAACTGCAATTAGATATATACAAGATATTGCACAACTCTTTTACTTTCGAGTGGTAAAAACAGTATTTTACGAACGAGCGCAGCGAGTGAGTAAAACATTGTTTTTAACACGAGAAAATAAAATTCTTATCTTTCGCGCCTCTGCGTAATTTTCTTTTTATTATATAGACAAACTGACTGATTGAACAAAAAGAAGCCGGGAAATGACGTCATTGACATCCTCACTAGTGAAGGATGTAGCCTGCGAACAGGCTCCCCGCGAGGAAGAATAAAAAATTCGGCGAGAGAGGAAATGAAGAATTCGGAGAGCGAAGCAATCGGAGCGGGACAGGACAGATCATGATACCAGATGGCATCATGAAACGGCGGCATCCTTAGAATGTCTACAGGATCCCTCGCTTCGTTCGGGCTCGCCGGGAGCCTGTTCGGGAGTCTGTTTATTGCTGGTTTTCAGTGTCACGCAATTCAAAATAGATCAAAATAAAAATCAAAACCGGTCAATAGATAAAGTCCAGAATCTGGGAAATGAAAGAANCCCCCTCTCCCCGCAAAAAAAGTAAAATGGTTCACCGCTTACGTGTTTTTGCTTTACCCGCGCTTGCAAATGGTTACACGCGTTACTACTTTCCCGCGCTTGCCAACGGTTACAATCATTGTTGCTTTCCTGCGCTTGCCAACGGTTACATTGTTTTTGGTTTTTCCCGCGCTTTCCAGCGGTTACACGTAGTTACTTTTCCCGCGGCGCTTGCCATAATGACCAATGATCAGTGCTGAGTTTAAAAGAATTTTAGTATCCTGTAAATAAGTAAGAACAGTCACCTGAGAAAGGTTAAGTCCCGGTTCCACTGCCAAGGGAAACAGAAACGGAATCGCTTTTGTCGCCAAATAATCCTTGTCCATACCAAGCTTCTTGTGAATCATCGTTTGCTTAAAAATACCTGATAAGTGGAAACAAATTTGATTTAAAATTCTAACATACATGTATACGGAATACATGGCACATATTTTGTCCCGTGTCCTCTGTATTCCAAAACAGAACAATTATTCCGCAATACTACAGCTGTTAAGACAACAAAAAGACAAAAAGTTTCTAAGAGGCTGTTGCGCCGTTTTGAAGGATCTCGAAGGGCACTGAGTAAATTATACAAGTGAAACATACTCAGCTAATTATCAACACGATGTTCGGAATGGTAAATTAACCGCCGAAGCCAATTTAGAAAGCTGAAGTTTCAAACAGGGATGGCGCAGTAGTGAAAGCGCTCGCCTCCCACCAATGTGGACCGGCGTCAAATGTGGGTTGAGTTTGCTGTTGGTTGTCTTATTGCCTAGAGGGTCTTTCTCTGGGTACACCGGTTTTCCTTCCCCCACAAGAACCAAATTCCTACTTGACTGATTTGACCAGTATAGAGAACTTGCAAGAGAAAACCAAATAAGGCTGCAGTGGCTTCCTCTCTAATTAATGTACTTTATTTATTTAGTATTATTCGCAGAGCTAACGCTACAGACTTCTGTTTCATGTGCACTTCAGGGCCGGGTTGTTCGAAAGCCGGTTAACGCTAACCCAGGATTAAAGGTTAACCGAAGAATCAATTCTCCTTGCATAAAAATGATTTTCACTTCTCTTATGATCTGTGTAGTTTGGGATTTCTCAAGCTCGAAAGGCTAAACAATGTAAACAGAATACCTCACCGAAAAGTTACAAAACTGAAATCAAAATTCTCGCTCATCCTGGGTTAACTTAAGCGGTCTTTGATCAACCCGACCCAGTCTTTTAACTTACCTAGGATTGCCATTAGTGTGGGCGGCTCTCTGGAAGGAATCTGATTCATGAGTGGGATGATGTCATCCAATACTGCATATTTATCAAGATGTTCCAACATCTTCCCTAGACACACCAGCGCGTTCACTCGAATCTACAAACAATAACCGGCAATCTTAACTATCGTAAGCTTGGTAGAGAGTCTCAATGGGGTTAAGTGGCTTTTACAGCTAGTGGTTAATATTTTGGTTTTTTTACGGCTAACATTTGTTCCTCACGGTATCCTGTGCTAGTTCTTTGTTTTGTGTAGAGTTATAAAATCACAGTCTTACGCATGCGTTTTCCTACAGGCGTGTATTTTCATGCTCCACAATAGAGACTGTTTATAGTGGATGTACAATGCATAACTACACAACATTTTTTTACTGCCACAGGAAACATCTACTTCTTAAATTTATGTAGAGTTTCAGTTTTTCATTTTTGCTGATTGGTTTAATATCGTGCATTAGCGATCAAATTTCAATTGTTTCACTTACACTCAAAGATGTCGTCTGAAGACAGAGGTTCTTGATGCGCGGAATGATGGAGTTTTTCATGGCTGAGTAGTCAATCATGTTTGAAAATGACGGAATGATGCTTAATACCATTTCCTAAAAAGAAAACGAACAAATGGACAGTTGTAAGAAGTCACTATGCATTAAAACTTCATGCATAACCACATCATTTCGCTCATGAGATGGCTCGGAAAGAGCTCAATCCCCCAAGAGGGTGAAACATATCGATTCTTTATGTTCTGATAAACAATAAGCTTTTTCTAAGGAAGAGATACCAGAAAGAATCCCAGTCGTAACTGTACCTGTAGCTGTACATCAGCAGCCTCCAGTGCCTTACAGACCATGGGCAGCACATGATCCCTTACATCATCCTTTGGTGTTTTAGCCAGTAGTATATCCATCTTCTGAAGGAAGATGATCACCACCTGAAAAAAGAAAAAAAAAAAAACAAAAAAAAAACACACAGAGATACAATGACTATCTCACCACCTATGGGTACATAAACTTTGTATTACAATCTAAGTCTTACTCTTCTTGAAGGAATGAGTTGGTTGCATTCACTCATGCTGAGTCACGATGACTCGACAACATTCCCCCTAATTTTTTCAGGCGATATTGTTAGTCAAGTTGACTTCTTGAATTAACGATTTGTTCATCTGGTGTCATTTCCACCCTTCCTGTACCCAAGTATGTCAACTTCTGGTAAGGATAGTCCTTGGATTTCACAACATGACTTCTACTAAGACAATTCATGTATACACACAGATGACTCAACTCACTTTGTGTGTATCGGACAAGNCAGCAGCCTCCAGTGCCTTACAGACCATGGGCAGCACATGATCCCTTACATCATCCTTTGGTGTTTTAGCAAGTAGTATGTCCATCTTCTGAAGGAAGATGATCACCACCTGAAAAAAGAAAAAAGAAAAAAAAACACATACATACACAGAGATACAATGACTATCTCACCACCTATGGGTACATAAACTTTGTATTACAATTTAAGTCTTACTCTTCTTGAAGGAATGAGTTGCATTGACTCATGCTGAGTCACGATGACTCAACAACATTCCCCCTAATTTTTTCAGGCGATATTGTTAGTCAAGTTGACTTCTTGAATTAACAATTTGTTCATCTGGTGTCATTTCCACCTTTCCTGTACCCAAGTATGTCAACTTTTGGTAAGGATAGTCCATGGATTTCACAACATGACTTCTACTAAGACAACTCATGTATACACACAGATGACTCAACTCACTTTGTGTGTATCGGACATGTGTGTCTCGATCATATTCGTACAATGTGAAAATCACCTTGCTGATACAGATTTCAATGAGCTGGGCAAAATTCAAGCCTATTTCTGATCTCAACTTGGATCCCATTCTTTAGACAGATGAAATCTATTGATACATGTATAACATTAGAAAGTAAAAAAAGATAACTTGAGAAAACAAGCGACCTGAATTGGGTCTTGTATCTTGAAAACAGGCTTTAATTCTGGAAGAATGAGATCACAAAACTCTTGCACAGTGCAGTCTTCGGCAATCAGAAGCACATTAGGCAGGACAAACGGTATCATCTGATGATTACTGAATTCCAAACACAACTGTGGCAACACTCTTTGGATAACGACACGCTGAGGAAAAATTAGAACATGTGAAGAATCTCATAGTGACACAGACTTCTTCTAATAGCAAGTATGAGGAAATGGTGGCATGTGAAAGCTAACTCTTCAAGTTAATGACTAAGTGCTTATGTTAAGTATATGCACCTCTGTGGCAACAAGCACCCTAATTTGTTTACATTGTAGCACCATCAGAGTATGTTGAGATCACCTGTAACTCAATGTCTGCACCTCATTCCAACATTACCAAAGAACTGCTGTTCTTTAAGTGTACTACCTCCTAGTTTCATGTGAGAGCAAAATTCTGCCAGATGAAAAATCTCTCTCTGAAAAGAGATAGGCATCCAGCCATCCCATCCCATAAGTGCCCTGTCTCTCATAACTGCCCTTCTTTACACTCCCAAAATAAGTTCCATGGGCAACAAAGGGAATCATTACAGCCATAACTGTTGTATATCATGTGTAACAACCTGTAGAAGATGATGATTAGTAAAAATTATTCAGCTGCTGAATAAATGCAGTCCAAATTAAATAATGTTAATACACATTGTTGTCCATACCTTTGGTAGTTTTGACATGACTTTGTAAAGACCCCTAAAGAACTGTGACTTGGCCATATCGTCTCGCTGTACTAATGAGTCCAGGTATTGTAATGTCATGGCTGCCACATTCTCAAAGAAAGATATCTGAAAGATGAGCATTGAAATTTATCAGTCAGTGACAGATAAAAACATCTTAACTATCGACACCTTGAAGACTTGCACCACATAACAAACAACTTAACAGATGAAGTTGCTGTTCTACAGATTTTATTTCAATGGTCACATACTAAGGATCCCCACCAAAGTGTCCTGGCCGGAGTCATTGCACTGAACACAATGAAATGACCCCAGCCATAATCATTGCATTGTGGGTATTTAGACACCTCACTCTCACAGTCTGTCTCTCCACCCGGGTTTATACCATCCAGGAGGGGTAGGCCTCCCCCACCCTCCAGCTGTATGGACCAATTGGCCCAACAAAGACTTAGCCGTTACATAGTGGAGTGACATATAGCAACAAAAAAATCATGAACTGTTACAGGGCATGTCACAGTCAAAGCAAGCTGAAAAGTAGCACAAGCAAAGGGATATGTTGTAGGAATATGTCCCTACAACACGTTCCCTTGTGTGAGCTACATATCACACATGGGATTGCACAATGACATGCAAGTAATACCATTATCATAGGTCTGCAATACGTACGAAGTGTTATTGCTACATAGCTTGCATGTCTACATTTGTACCTTGGACATCATGTGAACGTCTGGTCTAAGCGTGGTGGTGATGCTGAGTAAATTTCTGACATGCTCTTGAACTTCTTTTGGAACAGAACCGAGCGGTGTTGAACTGTTCCTTGACATCTGCAGCAACAAGACATTGCAATATTATAGGGTGTCAAAATATGTGAGGAATTTTAAAGGTCAACATTAGGGCTTCAGTTAGATGGCATCACTTTAAACACAAAAAGCTACACGTAAATGTGAACACTGAACAATGATTTATCATGATGTAACTGTGAACTAGAAGCTCTCAAGACATGAGTAGTATCCAGCAAGCTAACCATTCCACAGTTCATTACTGTTGGCTCCTTAATTAAGTCTCCAGTGACAGGCACACACAGTAGAGACTCTGAACAAGAAGCCCTTAAATAGCCAATAAAATCAGAAGGTGTATCATAATAAGTCTTCAGGGGAAGCCACTCATATGAAAATGTGTTCTGCATACAATTTCACTTTCATGCAAATCAAACTCATTTTCATATAAACATTTTTGCACAAGGACTTGTTTTGAAATATAGGCACAAGGTAAGTTTTAAAAAGACTATTGACTTTAACTAAATTATTGAGATTACCTGTTCTACATTTCTTTTGAATGTAGTCATGTTGTTGTCACAGTCAAAGGGTGGCCTTCCTTTGTTGTAGATGGAATAGATGAGAACTCCAAAGGAAAACATGTCGCTTGACAAGTCACATGACCTGGACAAGATATATTCTGGGGCAGCATAATTGAGATCAGGCTGCGCCCATGGCCAGAGGCGGGGTTCCCACTGCCCGGCATTATAAGCGGACTGAAGAACAGATCACATAGGCCAAATATTAGTACAGTCAGTTGAAACTCTGCTTGTAAGTAGAGTTAAGTATTCTTAGTGGTGTAAGAAACCCACATTGCAAGTAATGTAGGTAAAGTATTGTAAGTACTAGGTTATTGTTACTTGTGTATTTATTAGCATTAATAGATAGATGTAAGCAATTTACAGGCAGCTTTCGACACACGTCTCTGAAATGAAAGACAAACTTTGTGTCTCGAGCAGGATTCAAACCTGCACCTCCCCGCAAACTAGTCGGGCGTGACATCCACTACACCATTGGGGCAACCACACTGCATATATGCAAATTACTGTGATGAGTAGATTGAGCTTGGCCAACCCAAGGGACATTTTTTTTTTTTCGAGACATCTGTGTGTTTCATGGCTAAATCCCCGATTGGGGTTAGATAACAGTAGAAAAATCATTATTATTATTATTTTTAAAATAATTTCTTTATGGCAATATTTATTATGTATTGAAAGATACCTGTCCATCAATGACAACTGGTGTGGAACTGAAGAAGAGCCCAGCAATTTTCCACTGACCATTCTTTGTGATGACTATCATTTCAGGTGCAAGGCTTGCTTGAAGAATCTTTGCATCATTGTGAAGGAAAGTTAAACCTTCCACAAGCTGCTCAAAATATGACAACAATAAATAACACCATTACCAAAAGTGCAAAATGTTTTACCAGTGTGAAAGAAAACATCAAACAAAACAACAGTGGTGCAAGCAATATTTGTTTCCATTTACAAGTTGGCCTACTTGAAAATTTTGACCAAAGTCACGGAGCATGTCTATGCTTTGCTCACGCATCCTATTATTAATACAAGACAAACCTGATATAATCCATAGACCCTTTCAACATCATAAAGTTCAAAGGTCTGTAATAAGAGCAGACGGAATTGTCATGTACTAATGCTTGCACAATGCATAGCAAACATTGAATACTTAAACAAACAAACAAAACAGCTATGTTATAGCTATACGATATAAAAGTACTGGTGAAAAGTGCATGACTGCATTTACCTGTGATAATTTGTATTTCACCCCATCAAAGAAAAGGCAGGCCAAATTTTTAGTGAAATTTTACCCTTCAGCAAGGATGAGATTTTGCTGAGTCCCAATAGGTACCGCAAATTTCCTTTTGGGTGGTAATATCATGCAGGTCATGTGAGAAATACAATATTGTTTATAAAAAGATTTTGTCCCAGAAGTGACCCACATACAATATACTGTGTTTAGGTGCTGTAAGAGTTTTGAGACTCTCTCCGACTTTTTAGAACATGCTCATTAAGAGTGCACAATTAGAATGTAAGTCAATAGTCAAACGTCACAATAAAATTAAAACTTATTTTTTGAAATTATTGCACAATATTGTTGTGACATGTGTGAATAAAGGGGCCAGAGAAACTTGTATTGATAAGAGGGTTGTTGTTTTGTTGTTTGGTTGATTGGGTTTCTTTTGAAGGTTACATATATCTATGTTTGAATTTATGTATGTAGATGTCTGTAAAGCATCATCTGCCTAACCTTGAAATCATTAGGAGGAGGAGATGGCATGTTGTCATGTTTTCCCAGCAAATTTGCCAGGCTTGCAAATATTGGTTCGGTGGCAAAGGCTAAGCAATCCCTGGAAACAAGAGAAAAAAAGCAGGAGAAATCATTTGTCTGAGCAGCTATAAATTTAAGTTCAAAATATATACAACCCTTTCAGAATTGAGTCAGAGCTCTATCACAGTTATCAAACTAATGCAAATGAAAACCTAATTTTATGATTCTGAACATGTGGTATAGTATAGATACCAATGAAGGGTATCAAGCAGTACTTTAAATGGAATGCTGATAGCTGTCAATGGTTTGCAACAAAAGAAAATTTGAAACCTTTCCATTATTTTTTAACTTGGGATCCTTCGATTAATACAGCTGCCACATATTATCTGACACCCCAACGGTGGAGGAGGAAATTACTGTAAGGCCTGAAAGTAACTGATTATCCGTGTCTTACTTGGATTCTTCCAAAGGATGCTGAACAACCAACAGTCGTGGATGTCTAAGTCTTGTAAGCTGCACTGGTCCTTTTTTCATTGTCTCCATTACAATATCTCTGTCTCGTTTGTCTACTTTATCCAGAAGCTTCTTTTCAAAAACAACCAGGGAGACTTCCTAATGGAAATCAAAAACAGGAATAAATCAAAAAAGGTTGTTGGAAATTATCACATTATATGATATAACCACCTCACGGAAGCTTAAGAAATTATTGATATAATGGTTAATATGTTGCCTGTTGTGTATAGTTTCGGCTTTGAAGGAAAAGTTGGCAGAGTACCAAGGGGGGAGATGAATAGGGAGGGGGTTTAAAAAAGGGGAGTAGTTTAGTAAATTTCTTGCTCCAAAAAGTGGTGGGGTAGAGGAATTATGGTATACTGTTATGCAACATTGGTGTCCAAATTGTGTTGCATCAACAGTTGTCATACACGAAATTTATTAAAAATCATTCTTTAAAATCACTGCACCATGCATGCTAATATCAGTTATGAAAGACTAAGTTCTNAGTTCCGTTATTCTAGAGTACTGGCCGATAAAAGGAAGCTTAAAATAGCGTATATTGTTTTCATCATTAATGTTGTGGCTTTTTTGATCAGAAGGCTTGTTAAGATAAACTGTTGTACGTTTTATGCAATATTTATCATTATTGCTAGTATTACGACATAATGGTTAATATGTTGCCTGTTGTGTATAGTTTCGGCTTTGAAGGAAAAGTCGGCAGAGTACCAAGGGGAGAGATGAATAGGGAGGGGGTTTAAAGAAGGGGGGTAGTTTAATAAATTTCTTGCTCCAAAAAGTGGTGGGGTAGAGGAATTATGGTATACTGTTACGCAACATTGGTGTCCAAATTGTGTTGCATCAACAGTTGTCATACACGAAATTTATTAAAAATCATTCTTTAAAATCACTGCACCATGCATGCTAATATCAGTTATGAAAGACTAAGTTCTATATCCAAGTTAATTCATCGAACATGTAACTATTGCTAAGCAACACCTGAGTGATTTACAACAATGTGTTAAGAAGTGCTGGTTTAAAACAAAAGTACTTGAAGTTGCGACTATTATTAATTGATGAAAAGTTTGGTAACCTACGTCACAAAACCTGCAACCTTTAAATTAGAGAGCCGACTTTCGACAAAACATGTAAATAAACCCGGAACTTAACCAAATAAGACAAGAAATTAAAAAAGCCACGGGTTTACATAAAAACAGATTTAAATACAATAAGTGAATAAAGGGTATCAAATCCATACCTGACCGGTTGTTCGCTTTTTTCCTTCGTATATTTTCCACGCTAAATTGGGGCCAAAGCTTGCTACATGCTTGCCAACGTCAAAGTCTTTAGTCAAGGGGTTCCCAATCAACGAACCCACAGCGCCGACTGCACTTACAGTCGCAGAAACAGCTGTGACGGTGGCGTTCTTTGCCGCACTTTTGAGCCGATCAAACATTGCGGCTGAGTAGCTAGTGACTTTGTTAAGATCCATGATAATTCGTGGCGGGTTCTAACAAACTGAAGTCCGTACGCGACACGTATAAAATCAAGAAAGCTCTTGTCTAAAGCATTTTGTAGAATAGAAACGTTTTCATGTGTGACAATGATTAATGGTGATAGTTTCTGGAAGAAAACCCCGTTCCTCTTCGAGTTAAGCTGGTTTGGAAACTTCTGTGAATAAAAATATTTCTACAAATCCAAGACAACTGAGTCGCCATCTTTGATTTTTCGAGCTGTCACGTACACGCATGCTCCAGATTCTGTTTTACTATCGCCAGGCCTCCAAGGAAACAACACGGTCCGTTGCCCATTTGGTCAATTCTATTGATATGGCGACTGGTCACCGCTCATATCGGACTGCTATTGTGTATCGTAATTTCTTTTGTTCCGTCGCATTCTGGACACAAAAGCGGGCGGTTTGCTTACAGTTAATTATCGCTCAACTCTGGCCAAAGAAATGGAGCGGATGATTGAGACTAAAAGAGCGTTATTGTTCGCAATGACCCTCTCCGACAATGATTCCTTCGTGTGGCCATTTGATTTCCTTCGATCACGCTCAGTATTGAGCAGCAAACGTCAATAATCATCGCTCACTTCAGTCCGAGAGGTTGTTTATGGCGAATATCAAAGTATTTGCACGTTTAAAACCATGTCAAGATATAAATCAGGAATTGATCAAGCGTGAAGATCGAGCAATTTACATTTATCCACCTGGACAAGTTTCGCCGAACGCTTCCACTAGCTGTATCACGAATCTACAAGAATCCAAACCCCTCAGATTTCGCTTCGTGCACGTTTTCGGTATGAAATCATCGCAGAAGAATGTATTCGATGTAGCCGGAAAGGATATTGTCAAACAATTTCTCGAAGGATACAATGGCACAATATTTGCTTATGGACAAACGGGAGCTGGCAAAACTTACACGATTCAAGGTGAAGGAGTCGATAGTTCCGACGGGTAAGTACTTAGTGGTGAACTTGATCTGCCGTGTTTTCTAAGCTCAGGTATCCTGAAGTAGCTTGACTTTGAAATTTGCTACTCGCGATTCGTTTATAGATGCTTTTGCTTTTATTTTTAATGTATTGACTTCAATTTGTGTTTAAAAATTCTTCTGTATTGTTAGGTAATTTAGAGGGTACGAATCGAACCTGTAAAAAAACAACTGAATTGAACGTGACCTTACATAAGAAAGGTCTTCTCAAATTTCTCCTGTAACCTGGACATTTTAATCTGCCTTTTTTTAACACACTCATGAAAGAAAAAAAACACGTGTCTTACGGTAATCTTGCTTAATTTTAATTTAAACTGTTAAATGCGAAATTATTCGTTTGAAGTTGGAAAAAATCCCAATGGTATGCAACTGCAGTTATGCAGCTTTAGAAAGTGCCAAACTCCCAGGGGATGGTTTTTAACGACTGGCGCGTGACAGGCGTCACGAGAAGTCTTTGGTGATCTTTAAACTTTGCCAGTGTAAGAAATTACTTCAACTGCCATTTTGTACTGGATTTAAAAACGTACACAATGATTTTGGATTTCAACAAATGCTATCTCCCTTAGTATGGTGAAAGATTATTTTTTTTAAAAATTCTGTGTTATTTTTTTTTGATTCTTTGTTATTCAGCTTATTTCGTTACTAAATAGAAGAACCCATGTTATCCATGCTGGAATGAGAATTTTCATCCTGTTTAATCATGAGAGTCTCTCGCAGACTGATGTTACTCCTGGTCTCACATATTAAAGGAATGTCGTAAAGCTCGTCGCAAAGTTAAGAATGATACCAGATTGGATTTTTGAGGCATGGCTGATTCATTGTCACCCTTAAGAGGTTTTAACATGGACTTGTTTATTATTGAGCGATAAGTGACACATGTGCATCCAAGAATAACGTCCGAGACAAAAGAGATTACTGCACAACTAATTGCCACTGGCACTATTGTTTTAAGCTTCCTTCGAAGACAAACCTTAAAAGGTATCATTAGTGTTCAGTGACTATGACAGGTTGAAGTAGACCACCAATCATGTTAGTAGATTCATGTGGGACGCATTCAGATCAATGTGATATTGGGAGTTTCCCAAAATCGCACACATTGGAAAGAAATTTGAAAAATTTAAAAGAAATCCTTGATTATGTGCTTAAGACACTTTCCAAATTTCAGGATTATTTCCTAGTCAATCTCCTTTTATTTGTAAACAATTCTATTTAAATGTGTTCTTTTAGACTCAGGGACAGTGTAGCGGGGGGTGGGGGTGGGGGGCCTTTAGCTTCCCCAATTTCAAGCAAAAATATATAAAGTAATAATTTTACAAATATCTCNCCCCCCCGCCAATTCAAAATATGCTCTGCCATCCCTGACACTGCCAAGGACTACACGTAGGCTCTTTAGGGGAAATTCTGGATTTCGCTTAGGGACTGCTACATTTACCCGAGAACAAAATCACCTGCACTAACTACATATAAAAATCATTTTTAATTACTACCTTCACTAAAAACAGCTGCATTTATATGTACAACTATTGCTGCTATGGGAACCCTTGATAATTGATATTTATAGATAAATACTAGTTACATGTATGCAACACAGGAAAGGTTGGATGTAATACAGTCAAATGTACAACTTACAGCTTTCCTGTATTCTGATTGGCTATATTTTCTATGGCATGGTATAAAACATGGCCAGGTGTTGCATTAATGGCTAGGCACTCTGCAAATTGACTGTGTTTGAGGATGATTTTGTTCTCCTGGTTTGACCATCCAGAGGAAAGTTTTTCTTATAAAAAAGTTTATTTCAAAAAGTTTTGTTTGCATTGAAAACCAGTTGCCCTCCTGCAGACAATATTAATGAAACCCCTGTATAATATTGTCGTTAATACATTTTGTAAGATTGTTGCAACCTTCTGTTCTCAGGTCTGACTACAATGGACTAATCCCTCAAAGTCTGTCGTTGATTTTTCAAGATGTTGCCCATAATCAGCATGACACAGTCAACATTCATGTGTCATTCCTAGAAATTTATAAAGAGACAGCATATGATCTGCTGGGTCCTCTTCTGTTTAGAGGTTCGAAAAAACCCAAGGAATTGTCAAAGGTAAGGCCTGGTTCACACTAGTGACATAACAACATACTGACATAACTACACAATTGCTTTTGTTGGTCATGTTCATGATGTTATGTTGCTATCATGTCATTATTTTGGGATGTTCACACTGCAAACCCAACAACACGTCCTTCTTATGTCATTCTGTTTATGACGTTAATCTTATGTTACTTGTGTGTATGAAAGCTAATAATGTTATATCTTAAGAGCAGTCCACCATTATTCCAGGCTATTACCTTACAGCATTCTCAACAATTATTTTTAATTATTAATGAGGCTGGACCAGTTAACTTTAGATATTACAGAGAAGAAGTTGCTTAATATTAGAAATACCAGAGTATGATGTAAGCAAGAGCAGGATAACCTGATAGTTTTAGAAGGTCGTTTTTTGGGATGATTCACGTACACATAAAACACACACTGGGATTAGTGTTATAAATATTAAAAAAAAAACAACAGTTGTTTGTTGGTACTTCTCAAACTCATTTAATAATTCGACTTAACACAAAGAAAATCACAACCGTGAAGGAGGTTTGGATACCCGGTCATAATTAGCACAGATTTTGACGATTTTACTTCTCCATTTACTACTTAGTTTTGTTTCAATCAAGAAGAAATATCAAACACTCAAGACAGTGTTTCATTTGCTATCCAAACACCTTGAATTTTGTCAAAAAATACTCCATTGCGTGTTGCATTTTCAACTCTCCTCTTGGTGTTTGGATATCCCGATGAAACACTGTCTCTCATGTTTGATGTATTACATCCAGAGTAATCTTGAGAAAAGCTTGCTGTAACTGAGATGTAACCTTCATGATTTTTTATTTCTGTGGTCACGTATCAGGTTTTGGTGACAATGGGTGGAAACGAGTCTTGTCACCTTCATGGACTATCTCTTCATCGTGTGACATCAGTGGAGGAGGCGACCAAGCTCTATCAACTGGGTGTGGCAAATCGAAAGACAGCTGAAACACCTGACAATCAGAGGTCGTCTAGATCACATACTGTATTTAGCATTATGATATTCAGGCAGAAGCATGGCGCAGAGTTATTTTTAAGGTGTGTATAAGTCTCACCTGGAGTTGTTTTGTTGTAGGCATTTTGTTGCAAATTTTGTTTAATGTGTAACCCCTTTCAGCTCCAAGCTTTCGTTGATTTGATTGCTTGCTCGACCCCACATAACTCTAGTATAATGTCTCAATTTCTGGGTTGAGGGACAAGCAGGTAACTGACATTTTAAACTCCTCTTGGAAATTTAGTGGGAGATGCAGTGGCCTAAATTGTAGTCAATGGTTAGTGGAGCAGTCCAGGGTCAAGCCTTAGCTGGAGTTACTGCATTGTGTTATTGGGCAAGACATTTCTCTCACAGAACCCCTCTCCTCCCAAGTGTATAAATGGGTAGCAGCAATTTAATACTGGGGTAAACCTATGATGCACTACCGTTCCACCCAAGGGGAGTAGAAATTCTCCTAGTTGCTTCATGCTAGTTGCTTCCAGACAAGAGAAAAGTCCCATTGCGTATAACCAGGAGGATCCTCCCTGTCTAAAGTGCTGAAAAAAATTAAGTCACATCTTGACCATTGCCCCCCTTCCCCTATCTTACAGCATATCTAACAGTAGTATGATCGTTTTTCTCTCTTCACCAAAGGTCAAAGCTGAATCTGGTTGACGTAGCTGGATCAGAGCGAATATCAAAACCAAGTGCCAATGAGCAACATCTTGGTGAAGCGAAGTTCATCAACCTGTCATTACATCACTTGGAATCTGTGATCATTGCCCTGCAGAAATTTAATGTGAGGTCCTTGAGAAATTGCAGTCGAAAGGAACAAACTGGGAAATGTTCCAATTGCTGCTCAAGTGCAACTTTGCAGAGAACTAGAAGTGTGGATGGCACTTCTAGACCAAGACTGAATGGAAGACTCATTAGTGCAAGTGCTGTAGAGCTAGGAAATGGAAAGAACGCTGTTGTTGCAGCAGATTATGAGCCTGTTCAGGTTCCCTACAGGAATTCACTTTTGACTATGGTTTTACAGGACAGTCTAGGTGCGTGAACTCACTCACCTCTGGTACTAATATTAAGACCTGTGGAGGCATGGTGGCCTCCTGGTTAGCGCGCTCGTCTCCTGATCGAGTGGTCGGGGTTTGAGCCCTGGCCGGGGACATTGGGTTGTGTTTTTGGGCAAGACATGTTACTCTCACAGTGCCTCTTTAAAGCCAGGTGTATAAATGGGTACCGGTGAATTTAATGCTGGGGGTAACCCTGCCACGGACGAGCATCCTATCCCAAGGGGAGTAGAAATACTCCCAGTCACTTCATGCTACAGAAACAAGGATAAACTCCCACCTAATGGGCCACTTGGCTCCTATGCAGACTTTACCTTTTACCTACTATTAAACTAGTAATAGTTATCACTAAATCTGCCCCCGCTTTCTTTTATTTCTGCTGATTGAAAACAGTAATATTGAACATTTTTGTATGAACTAAAAATGTTATTTTTTTTTGTAAACTATATCACTCATACTGTCCCAGTAACTTAGGCATCTTACCATGAATATCATCCAAACAATCAACTAAGTTAACTAAACCAACACATTCTGTTTAACTCATTCTATCGACCATTCCATCACATGATATTCTTTACATAATACTCTCACGAAGCATTTACAGCAGAGCAGTTTACCATATCTCGTTAGAATGGACGCAAAAAGTACTTTCAGGGAAAAATGGTTGCCTTCATGAAAACTAATATTTCTTTTACAAAAATTTCACTCAGTAGAACTTTATAGGGCAAAAACGTTAAAAAATTATAGCGAAACAAAAAATTAAGTCAAACTACTCTGCTGTTCCAATTTGACGCTGAAACAAACCATTTGTCTTGATATACGAGCAAACGTATCTCGAAAGCAGAACGGAAGTCGAGTTTTTTTCCGAGACGTAAACAGAAGTGTCACGTTACAGTCACCATATATGCAAATTAGAGTCAAGCTTTTTGACCTCAACGAAAACGCTGCAAAACATTTACATTTACATTTGGATCCCTGCAGAGTCACCCAGTCCACCCATGAACTCTACGCCACGTAGGATTACTCAAAACAAATAAGCGATCCGAATTAACGAGATCAGGGCCAAAGGTAAAACTGGCGATCAGAAGGGTATTTATTTTTTCCGAGACGTAAACAGAAGTATCACGTTACAGTCACCATATATGCAAATTAGAGTCAAGCTTTTGACCTCAACGAAAACGAAAACTACAGAAGGGTATTTAGCTATTTATTTGCAATTGAACCACACTGCCCTCAAATTCCTAGTGTACTTCAGAATTTTTTACGATACCTTCTGACGTGTTTTTCTCCCAGAATCCATCTTCAGGATCTTTGAAAACGTTTTCAATTCGTTCTAGATGAGAATCTCGGCCATTTCGAAGTGAATTTATTTGATCGCGCTAAAATCGTCATGCATGCATGCAGGCCATATTGTAATTGGAG